CCTCTACAAACCGTTGTTTTCAGGGAGCCAAGACCCAAGAGGGTCCCAAGAAGCGCAAACTACCAGCAGGCTCCCAGAGAAAGTTGAGACGCTCTGGAGAGGCCGTCATGCCTCAAGCTGGCCTTACGGCCCATTAGGTTGGATTTCACGAGCGCTCGGCGGCTGTAACGCCTGCAGAGACAGGAAGCTTCGTGCAGCTGTGGACCTTGCTAATCTTGCGAACATCGCACAGCTTTGCAGATGGCTGTGCCGACAGTCTACATCTCGGCTTCAAACACGAAGCTGCGAAAACAGGACATGTTCACATGAATCTAAACCCCATACCAAACCAAGTCAGGGATTCCCTGTGACAGGCCGAATAGTAATGTATATTCATAATCGGGAACCCTACAGAATAGCATTGATAGTTCTTGGTTCTATATTATCTGCAGTGCCTCATTACCTAGGTTGCCAAGTAGTACCCTTTTGCCCTTGTTTGGGTTCCTAAATTAAAACCGAAGAGCAGGAAAAAGGGTACCTTAAACTTTAAGGGGCTTCCGGGGGAACCTGGTTACTGGCCTTTTCTTGCACCTTCGGACTTGAAGTGCTTCACCCTGATCCTCAGAGCGGGTTTAAGGGTATGGGGTGCAGGATTTAGATCTCAAGGCTGCAGTGCTTGGGTTTTCGGGGAATTTTCAGCTTGCAGTGGCTTGAGGCCTTTTTAAGAAGTGTAGAGCTTACGTGCCCCAGAGGTTTAAGCTTCGTTAACTTCGTGTCGGCGCGGGTGTCGGGATTTGGATTTCAGGACTAGGGTTTAGGGTCTTTTTTGTTTTTAAGGGTCAAGGGTTTAGTGGTTTGGGATATGGTATAGGAACCTTGGGCTTGCAGGAACCCTCAAACCACCCTAAGCCGCGGCTTGCAGTTTGGTGGCTTCTTGAGGTTTGGGCCTACATCCTGAGCTCTGAGAGCCCTCAACCCCAGACCACAAACCTTACGAGCGCCAGATCCGGAGCCCACCATAGACCCTAAAGTGCGCCAAGCCCTGACCCCCCTAAACCCCAAAACCCAAGAAATTCCCTAAACCCTAAACTGCCCCAGACCCTACCCCCCCTAAACCCTAAACCCAAAACCCTAGACTGCCCCAAACCCTAAAGCCCCTAAGCCCGCAACCCCGAAGCTGTAGGGGCTGAATCCATGACGAAAGGCTGTATGGTTTAGGGTTTAATATAGTATAGTATACTACAGTATCTTGTTTTATACTATATTTGTACTATGTCGTATCGTATTGTCTAGTATTACAGTCTAGCATATAGTTGAGTAAACTATTGAGAAATGGCCTTACCACAAAGCACAGGATGTAAACTGCTTGGAAATATGATGGCTGTGGCTGTATGCTAAAGAGCCTTCCCAGACTTGATGGAACTGCATCCTTACAGTGGCATCACTGTTAACTCGACGTGTCGTGGCAACAAGGGGCCTGTTTCCGTAGCCTTCCCCTAAAGCCAGCATTCAGCCGGTTGGACACCGGGAGCGGCGTGCTTTTGCATGTTCAGGGTTCAGGGTTAAACTGCTAATGTAGAAACCGAAATGATTACCAAGATTTTTCCAAGGGTTCCTTACTTACTATAACAAAACCATGTACCCCGAAACCCTGTTAAGCAAGGCCCCTACATGGATCCCAGAAGACTGGACAACCCAGGCCTCGATGATTTCACCGTGTACCTGATCATGGCAGGCCTCCGACTCCTATCGGCACCGGGGCACCTAAGGGGATCATGGGAGTCAGTAGGTATAGGTTTAGGGTTTAGGGGCCAGTTTAGGCTTTAGGGTTATAAGGAAGGTCGCTATGTAATATGTAGTTGTATCTAGCTTGAACTTACTATGGACTAAGTTCAGGGTTGTGAAGCTGACATTCAGAGTTTAGTGCTCAATGATATGATATTCAATACTGGCATTGCCCTTAAACCTTAAACCCCTAAGCCCTAAGCCCTAAATGTGACGCTAAACCCTAAACCCTAAATCCCAAGCCTTAAACCCCTAAGCCTTAAACCCTAAGCCCAACCCTCTTGGAGTCTTAGAGCCCTTGACGCCTTGGTCTGGGTCAGCTGTACCTTTAGGTGGTTTGGGGGATCTAGCAGGGTTCTGTGAGGGTTAACACGCCTGTTCGGGATTTGGGATTCCTGGCTTTAGATGTTGAAGTTTATCTGGTCACGCTAGCTGTCTGAACAGAGCACAGCGAGACTCCGAAGCAACCTTACCACCCTTCCCTACCAGAACCCCACAACTAAATCTCAAAAATCCCTAAACCCTAAACCCCTAAACCCCTAAACCTAACCCCAGGCCCCTCACCCAAATCCTGAACTTCGCACGCCAAGCCAGCTGTAGGGTTCAGTTCTTCAGTTGCGCCTGTAGCACGCGCACACCTTGACGCCATCTTTCCGTGCATATGTACGCTCTCATGCACTTATCGCGCTTTTGGGGCCTCCACGCGGACAGATTCCGATCGAAGCCGCCGAAGTCTTGATCATTGCCTCGCACTAAGGCCCACAGTCTAAACGACCCACAGAAATCTCTTTGGCATAAAGCATAATATGGTGGCCTTAATAATTAGAATAGGGGTTTGGGGTATGTTATGCTATAATTATAATAAGAACCACCCTGAAAAGGCCCCTATATTACTTCTTGAACACGTGGACCCTGACCTTGCAACCTTGAAGCGAGACTTGTCACTTTCAGCGAAGATGCCAGGCAGTGGCATCTACACCTGGTACGAACTTATCCTGGGAACTATGCTCGGCTGCCTAATTCTGGCGTCGATCGTGACTCAGCTTGTTCTGTTCAGTTTAGGATGGTTTACGGTTTAGCAATGCAGGGAGTTTGAAGTTTGGGGGTCTCGAAGGGCATAGGCCTTCTGGAGTTCTTGGCGACGGCAGGGGTTAAAGCTTGGAAGGGCTTCGGGCTTAGGGTTTAGGGCTTAGGGCCGAGGGTTTTTATTAGTTTCATGGGCCTCCGGTTGGTGAAGCACGCGATACGGTAGGCTCGACTCTGACCGGTTTTGAGTTCGATGAAACCGAGTATATGGCTGTGGTCACTTGCGTCATGAACTCTCTCTTTGCCTCTCTTGTGTTTCTCTCTCTGCGTTTCATATATATATATATGTGTAAAGGTGTGTATAGCGTACTGCATTAACATCAAAATATGTATGCGTACCCTCTCTGTCTCTCTCGTTCTCTCTCAATTTTCCCTCTCCCTCTCTCTCTCTCTCTCTCTCTCTCTCTCTCTTCTCTTTCTCTCTTTATGACTCGGGCAGCACCGCCATCTGATGTACGCTCACGTCACACCAGCGCGGAATTCCGTGCACCTTGCGCTGCTCCACTCATGGATGCCTCTGTTCGGAGTTTTGCTTTCAGACAGTGAGGAGGGCAGGGGTTCCTGAAGAATTGGGTTAGTTGATGTAGGGATCCTTCGGGACTACTTTGCGTTGGGGGTCCTACAGCTGAAAGGGTCTATAAGCCTACATCTGAAATGGTTTAGAGTCTAGGGTTTAGGTTTTAGGGTTTAGGGTTTGTGCTCAACAAGCATGTGCTGCAAGGTCCTCTTCCTGACAGAGAGCGCTTCGCTCTCTCATGTCTTGGCAGCTTGGCAGCAGGACGGCAGGCCTTGGGGGACGAAACTCTGAATTCTGAACCCGAAACCCTGCACCTTTTAATCTCTAAACCCAGTACACCGTAGAACCCGTAAACGCTGAGCTCTAAATCCTAAAGCCTAGGCCCCAAGCCCTACATCTTACAGTACCTTAACACCACACCTTCGAATTTGAATCCCTAGCATCCTAAGGCCTAAACTTTCTAAACCCTGCACCTCACACTCCCACTCTTAGATTTCCTAAACCCTGAGACCCTAAGCCCCAAATCCTGAACCGTAAACCCTACACCTTATGATCCCTAAACTCCACACCTTATAGTTCCCTAAGCCCCCAGCCTTAATCCCTCATTCGTACTACCAAGGAGAGCATACCGGCCTGGGCCATTCTTCTGGCATTGGGTGTCGTTGCCCCTGTGCCTCAAGGAGCTCGGCTTTTGGGATTCTTGTCCTTGCGCAAGAATTCTTCCTATGTATCAGCATCATTGGCATCATCATCATCATCATCATAATCTTGTTATTGTTCTTGTTATTGCTCTTGCTCTTGGTCTTGGTCTTGTTCTTGTTATTCTTGTTGTTGTTGTTGGTCTTGCTATGCCTAAAGTAGCTTCAATAGCTCGAGTGCTTCGATAGCAACTGCAGTGCACTTTTCAGGAGTAACTCGCGAGTAGCAATTTCGGACATGTCCTTTCCGGTTTCACCGAGTGTCTGCTAAGTCCAGCGCCCGCTATGCGCAGAGCACGCTCGCGCAGCGTTCAATTGAAAATTGGTCTTGCTCTTGCTCTTGCTCTTGCTGTTGCTCTTGGTCTTGGTCTTGGTCTTGGTCTTGTTCTTGTTCTTGTTCTTGTTCTTGTTCTTCTTCTTGTTGTTGTTGTCATCGGTGTTTTTACCAAGCAACAAGGAAAAAACTGGTCAGATGCATTTGCGACGCTGCGTGATTTGCTGTGGTGTCATTTCGCGACTCAGGGTCCAACGATGACCCATTTCGCTAGCCTGGCCGTCGCTGGCACCGCGCTCAGGCAGGGCTGGGCCACAGCTTTTAGGAACTCAGGATCAGAGGTTCCGCACCATGAGAGTGATTTTGCTGCTGTCAGGCAGGCGTTCCATCGACCTTGCACTTCAGCAACTTCGCGAGGGCGAGTTGCTCGGTCTGCCAGTTGCCAGGCCGCAGCCACTGATCGGCTAGGGAGGAGTTGCGACCTTCGTAGTTTGGGGTTCTGAGGCAATTGAGGGGGGCCTGGAAGAGAGTCAACTCAATCAGCCGTCTAGTTTTGTTCAGGCTTCAAACTACTGGGACCGGAAGGTCCCACTGTCACAAGCTCAGATCATTTCAGCTATCCTATCTTTGGCTTCTGTTGCATTCATTGTTTGCCTCGGTGATGCTGACTGAGGTATTGCTTAGCAGTGCACTGATTGGCTTATCCACAGGCTGCCCACCAACGTTGCCAACGGTTGTGTAGTTATGCTATGCGCCTGATTGATGGAGGTTTTGCCGTGGTTCTGTTCGAAGGATTCATCACCATTCTCGAGGAGCCTTTTTCTGAGCGTGCGAGGACTGTCAGTGAGTCGGTCAGATTAACAGGAGCTGCGTGAGGAACTTCCAATACCAGTGCTGGCTCCCATCCTTGGTGCCTTTGGCCAAGATGGCCAAGATTATCAGAATCGCACCATATCGCAGCCATTCCCAGTCTTTGCACTGATTTTGGCCAGTGCTTACTCAGACTGCAGCGGATAGCAGTTTTACGCAGTACTTGTCGTGTTTGATTTCTCAGGCGCACTGGCACTGGCAGCCCTTGTCGCGGCATTCGGTGGCAAAGATGGCCTTGCGGGCACTGACATCAAGTCCTTGCTGCTCCCTTAGCATAGCATGTGCTCGACCCTTCCGGTTATTTGCACTTGTTGAGGAAATCCTATGCAACGGCAGGCGCGGGATGTCTGCTGTAACACTTTTGTGGCATGTACGCCATGGATAGGCGGACAGTCTGAAATCCATTTGTGTGTCTAAGGTGGGCCGGAACCGCCGTCGAATTGGCCGCTGAGGGCCGGAGCAAATGCTTTGCTCAGTCCCAAGATCTGAGACGACACGGCAAGAGTGATGTCGGCTTTAGGCACCAACGAGTATTGGCGTGATTTCATGGCAGCAAAGGTTTAGTACCCTGTATCTGCAATTGGATAGGCGACGACGACACGGCGATGACTACGAAGATGATAACGAAGATGATGATTGTGGTGATATAACGGCGACAATGTTTATGGGATTGATCATGAGGATGTCAATGTGGATGACGATGATGATCCTGGCCGTGGTCGTGGTGATTGACTTGGTCGTGTCGGTCGTAGTCGTCGTCGTTTAGCAGTGCTACTCGTCGTGATGAAAGTCGCGACAGCAGCAATAATCGCAGAGACAGCAGCTCCGAAAGTGGTGAGAATCATCGCTTGGGATGGTTGGGGACAGGTGCCAAATGCGGCATTTCTTTGCAACGTCGTGACAGCACAGCCTTGCCAAGGTCTGCTGCGATTACCCTGGGCTCAGGCAATTCCCTGGGCCCGGAAGCACCTGCAGCAACGCTGGGCCTGGCACCCAGGGCATAGCTTGTATACCAGCACGCGCAGAGTAGTTTTCGATCACATCTGACTTCGTACTGTTTTGCAAAGGCGCTAACGTGGCGTTTGGGCTGGGTCAGGCATGCGTCTCCGCATCCTCGTGGCAAACTTCTGCAGAGATGTGGTAAGTTGAACTCTTGTTTGCCCCGCATGCTCGCACTTGTATAATTCAGTGGCCACAAGGCTCGAGTCTCCCTACTAGCAGGTCATCCATGCCTCCTTTTTGACATGTGGCTTCGCTGAAACAGCAGGTGCATAAGTCCTCCATGGAACTGCCGTGGCACCTTTGACTTGCATTGCCACTCTCTGCTGGTTGATTCAGTTTCGGAGGTGCGAGGAATGCCTACGGCATGGCCTCGGACCGTCTGGTGTGGCTAAACTCAGATGCCGAGCATGCCGCTTTTACAGACCGGGACCCGCTCGGACACATGTCACATTTGCCGAGATTTGGGCAGCCTTTATTTGGCCTGGGCAACTTCCCCTCGCCTGATGCGCCGAATGCAGAGTGGGGCGGCCCCTCTCCCGGTGTGAAGCATTGCGACTGAAACGCTATGTCGCCATTCTCAAATCAAGGAGGGGGCCTTCTTGGAGAAGGTCAGCCGGGTGGGGGCCTGAATCGGTTTGAGTTGCACGCAGCCAGCTCAGTCCGTGAAGTGGCATGTAGCCCATCTAGAAGTGGGTGGGTCCGACGAGGGGCTGCGGGTCGATGATCACCATCCTCCTCCCTGCCGTCTCTTGTTGGCATGTGTTGCCGTGGATTCTAAGCTGATGTTTTGATCTCGGCCACAGCATGTGTCAGCAGGCGTCGTCGTGTAATGCTCTGTATGTACAAATTTGTAGCTATTTTTCATCACATACACTATGCCTTCAACTCCGAGTCATCAAACATGTGCCTTTTCTCTGTATCCTGATACTGTATGACCTGTCATAGGCTGTTACGTTTACCGCTGCTGTCGTTCTAGGTCATCAGGTAGTTTTTGTCTATGGACATCATGTTGTTAGGAGGATGCGCCATAGTGATAGATGCGTCCAGCATGATGTCGGGTGAAGCAGTGCAGGCATGACAGGATCAGTTTGTACATTTGGTTTGCATGACTTCAGAAATATACTCCAATCGCATTTCAACTTCATTTTCCTATGGTGGCTTCTTGTGCGGTACGTGACAAGTGCGAAGCAACATCAACCAGCTTAGCGATGCAGCCAAAGTTCTGAGTGTTGGTGCATGCGTTTCAAGCCTAGGTGAAGAGTATACATGCGATGCGGACAGGGTCAATGCGAGTCTGCACAGATCCAAGAGCCGTATTGCAGTGCCTTTTGGCGCAATAGATGCTTGGCGGACGGCAACCGACGGGCACAACACCTGAAGTCTTCAGTCCAGTTCTTCGTACCGCGACTGGTTGTTCAAGGTACACATACAATATTGGTGGCTTGAAGGCACAAATGTTGCTTCGGGAAGGTTACCGATCACTGACATCTCAGCATGCACGTGCCCTCCCTTGCCGAGGTGGCTACGAGGAGATGCGTGGTGACTACATTCCGTGTGTCCCGTCGCACCTCGATGCTTTCCTGTACCTCAGCTGCAGTTTGCTCGAGTTTTGTGCGTGGGGGGCCCACATAGCGCTAATTGTTACCGAAAGCGATGGCAAAGGTTTTTGGCGGAGGTAGTTCGGTTGTAATAATGTCAGGATTCTCTTTCTCTGATACTGTCCGAATATACTTTAAAATCGTAAAGTCCGCCCCGGCGCGGCTGCAACTGAAGAGGGCTGCTCGGCTGTTTCGCGCAGGTGATGTGGGGAGGGCGGGGGGGAGGAGGAGTGAAGGGGCGGAACACGAATTTTTTGCTCAGACTGTCAACCAACAACCGAAATCCATTGCAGGACACGAACCTTCACACCTGCATACTATATAAATGCATGCACTCATGATACAAAATTCATGTCGATCCTTTTGTCGATGGTTTATTTTCCTTGTTTCTTTTACTTGTAAAAGGCTTTCGGGACACCCGGGCTCCATTTTGTTCGCACACTCTGGTAGGGAGAGAGTGTTTGATGTTTGTCTTGCTGACGGCATGAGCCTTAAGGTTTATAGATGCTGGGAGCCCAGCTTCAACACACTTGTCACATGTCGGAGCGAGTGACCCTTTGTACAGCCCATGTCCGAGGAGGTTGGCCAGAAACGCTTTGGCAACACGGCTTTGAAGAAATGGCAAGAGCGGGGATGGCGAGTCGTGAACTTCACGCAGGTTGAAGGCAGGGCAGCATCAACAACAACGTCTGTCCGGCAGTCCATCCTGGCAGGAACCAAGTATGTATCCAGTGCCAGATTGACGAGCAAATCACTGCGACTCGGCTTATTACTTGATGTAGGCGTGTGATGCTGTCCTTGGCGAGGAAATTCGCGCCACCTCGTTGGTTGCTGAACGGTGCCTCAGCGACAGAACATCGCCTTGTTGTATTCTTTATGCAATCCGTCGGCACGTGCCAGGTACCTGGCATTGGCTGGTTGAGTACGATGGCAACATCGTGGTAGATTTGCACAGGCTTGGACCATTTCTGCGAAGGCAGAGAGAGCAGGCCTTGGCTCCGAAGCCGCACTGAATTCGCACAAGCTGGTCCATCTGGTCCACATGACCGCCCAGGTTCTGCTGAACTGGGGCTACCACGAGGACTGCACTGATGACAGCTTCAACTGCTTTATGACGGAAGTGACAAGCATGCTCACGGAGAGGGTCCAATATGTTGCTTGGATGCCAGCGGCCACGGAAGCCGCAGACTTGCGTTGGAATTCCTCTGGCAATGCTATTCAGGTTGCTCGCTCCAGAGAGAATGTTCTGAAATGGAAAGCAGCTTGACTGATTGTTGGTGAAATTCCCCTACCAGTGCCCCACAACACAGGACGCAAGCGCCATGACTGCTAGGAACTCCTTGAGCAGATGCACCAGGGCAGACTCACGCACGGAGGCCGGAATCTGGGCTGCAGACTCTTCCAATTCTACTCGCAGGCTTGCATTTGGAGTGCTGCGCCAAGAGGTTTCTTACCACGCGTCCGAGCTTTCCAGCAAAGGAAATACACGCCACCGAACTACTATGAGACGAATGCTCCGAACTTGTCGCCCATGAGTGGACTTGTGTGGGTTGTGCATTCCCGCTTGCCTTCGCTGAGGTGATTTTTCGCAACCTGAAGCATGCTAAAGCCCACAGAGTCAGAGAGACTTTGCTGCCCTTTCGCAGATCACATCAATCACACTGCTGTGGGACAAAAGTGCGAGACCTGGCCGAGCAAGTCTCAGGACGCTTTCGAGAAGACTTTCCTGAAATGCCATGAAATCCAGCGGGATCAGTTTGTGGTGCCATTTTTTCTCTGGTATCTCGGCCAAAACCATGCTTTGACTTGTGCTGAGTCCGAGCCGAACTGAGGCAAGATGGGCTCGATGAGGATACAGAGGCTGGGGAATTTGTGTTCGATGTGTGATTCCGCTCGTTCCGTTTATTGCGCCACTGCTGTGCGATTGAGAAGGCCGCTCCCATCGAGACCCTGGTTGACGAGCTCGGGTACTGCATGGTGAGCACGCGTGTGGGGCGAAACTAAGCTGACAAGCAAACGACGTGCAAGAGTCAGAAAAAGCCGTGTTTCGTGGCTGCCGGGGGGTACAGGTGGAGCAAATGCCAATCAGCCATCCATTGCAGGTTTTCTCGATCTTTGGTGCACAGGCTGCTGCCGAGGAGTGTTTTCAGTGATGTCCTGTGTGTCGGTGGCTGATGTGCGAAAAAAGGAGACCGCCGAGAATGGGACGTTGACGAGCCAGGAGGCCTCCGGCAGGGTCGTCAGGGTCGTCCCGCTCGTCCCCACTTTGCAGAAAGCTGGTCCAGCTCGGAAAAGGACCGCGAGCTGATCGAGAAGGCCCTGGAGGGCTCCAAGGTGGTGGCCAGCTTGCCGGGAAAGGCGCTAAGACTGGGGTGAACTCCGTGTTGCTCCTTGAAGCATCCTGTTGCAGGAGTTGGACCGCTTGTTGAAGTATTTCCAGAAGGCGCACTTGAAGGATCTTGTGAGCACGTTCTTGGGACAAGGGGTTCCAGGATGGTGTGCTCGTCAAGCACAGGTAACGCTCCAAGAAGGTGACACCCTGATGAAGCATGGTGACGAAGCGCAATGCTCAGAATGCTGCCAACGGAACTGGTGGCTGCGAAGGGATCTTTTCATTATTTTGCAATTGTTTGTGTTGATGGGGAGTTATGCGGCAGTGAGGTCAGTGATGATGAACCTGGTCTTTTTGTCACGCAGCTTTGCCAAAGTCAACCTAGACCTCTGGAGCCTTAGGAAAAGGTTTGGAGGGCAGCGAGATCCATGCATTGATTTGCAGACCAGGAAGAGCGGGCTGTTGGACGTCTATGTTCCAGATGGTGAAGGCGAGAAGAAGGCTTGCCCCATGTTACTTACCTCCGATGCGACTTCATTGCTGAAGATTCGCTGGCTTTCCACGACATGTTTCAGCCGCAACTCTCCGGGGTGAGGGGCGTTCGCCCTGATCGCCAAACTTTAAACTCCCGGTCTTGTTCTATGTAAACGTAGCGACATAGAGAAGTCATAGACTATGTTTATGCCGTGAAGGAAAACCCTGCAGAGACGGTACTTGTAGCTGAGGCATTGCTATGATGTGTCTGCACAGGTACATCTTGTCATGAACCGCACAGCCATGCGCATTGATACTCTACATGGCTGATGCTTAGAACTAGACATTGGAGAAGGCACTCGTTATTATATGGGATGCAGAAGTCGGACAGGATTTGTTGAGGGACAGCTCGAGAGCCGAAGCAAAAGAAAGAAAACATAGCTGTGCAGCCATCTTCGTGCTTGATTTGCCCCACTGTTTGCCAAGTGGCAGGTCTTCACATACGAGACGAGCGGCGCAGTCGTTGGTGAGCTGGCTGTGCTGTTTCGAGCTCCCCGTGCTGCTACGGTCAAGGCTTGGCACAGCTTCAGCCGCAGAATCTGATGTTTGGATGGCGCAGGCCCGCACGGATGCCGTGCTCTGGAGCGTGGACCGTAAATCTTTCGAAGCTTGCGGTGGTCGCTCCGAAGGCTCCATGGCAAGGACCGCTTCTGCATCCGCTTTGGGGGGCCTTCCCAAACCTTACGTCAAAATCCTACAGAAAGACACTCGTCTTCAGAGCCCCATTCCGATTCCGCGACTTTCAATTCCGGGACGGAAGCCGGGAAACCCACTCCTGAACAACATCCGAAGTCTCGCTGAAGGCGCACGGCTCGGGTGCATTTCGACTTGGAATCAACATTCTGCGCCCAAAGTGTTCTCGGCTGTACCAAGCAGATGCTAAGTTTTCGACCACCGCTTTGGCTGGCGGCTGAAAAAGTGTTGGAGATGGCCTCCATATGCACAGATACACACCGACTCAAGGATAAACGCAGCAAGCGCGATTCCGAAAGAACCAGTGACAAGCACCCGGCCCGACAAGGATGAACCAGAATCCGGATGCCCTTTTGGCGTCCGGGGCGGCGGCCGGTGTCGCGGCCGGAGCTGGTCTCAGCTCGGCACAACAGTTCTTGCGAGTGCAGAGCCTCGCATCACTTCAGTGCCTGCCTTGGTATGTTTGAGGCTTCAATGCACCCATTGCCGGCATTTTCTTCGCTTCAGAGGCTAAGTGCAACACAGTTTGCACGGTATGGAACGTTTACTGCAGCGAGGTCGTGAGACCTGCTGACGACAATCAGCTGGACTTGACGACAAGGCAATTTCCAAGCAAGAAGCTGCTAGCTGTTCCCACACTACTCCAGGCTCTTGGCGGCTGCTGTCAGTGCTGCTGTTGTCCAGTCTTTCCTCCCAGCAGCATCCTGGGCGAGAGCATGCAAGATCACTTAACTAGGTGTCGTTTTAGGCAGACGTCTGACACATGTCAATGTGTGGTCCCAGGGCGGACCAGCCATCAAGACTAACGATTTCGCATGGGAAGGAGGCAACTCCGTGGGGGCCTCGTGTCCCGCTGTCACGTGAGCATAATTGGTGTCGGTCAGTATATCTGAGAGCTAAGGAGCTGTTGTTCTTCCTGCTGCTGGGCGTGCTGACAGGCACGCTGCTGATACATGCCTTCATCACATCGCCAATGAGCTCGCAGGTTCGCCTGAAGCATCTCATGCGCAAAGTTTCTGTTCCAGGAATGACGCAGTGCAGACCACAGCCAGCCATCTTGTTCTTCAAATGCAGACTCGGAACCCACGTCCTTAAGAACCACCTATGACATCTTAACCTCGGTCCTGGAAAGATTCTGCACCCTATGAAGCCTAGAAGATCTAAAGCCAGAAGCTTTGGAGTATGGGGCGTTTAGGTCCGTTTAGGGCCCAGGAGCGAAGGACAACTTCCTGAAGATGCTGGAAAGATCCCAATCCCCGTAAACCCAGACTGAGTCGGCGCGAAGGCATCATGGCATACAGCTACAAGAAGATCGCGGGAGTTGCGCGTGACGTGGCATCCTTCCTCAAAGAACAAGGTTGGCCGGCCATATTGCTACCAGTTGTCAGAGCCTCAGCCGGCAAGTCAATGAGAGTTTCGGGAGCCACTGCATTTGCCTGCAGGCAGGTGCTCTGCTGACTGTTGCTCTCTCCGTTGCCGTCAACTCCCGTGTACAATTCGACGGTTTTGGGGTGCGCCTTCCCAGCCGAATGAAGTGCGGAATCGCAGAATCCCCAATCACGACGAGGCAGTGAACGAAGTGCTCAAGGATTCTTCGCAGCCTTTGAGCCTGTCCAACATCAACCTCGAGCCGCTGCTGCAGGCTCGTAAGATTTCGTACGTCTGGGCCATTCCAATGCCTCCGAATCCTCTCCATCATACTACCATTCCGCAGGAGCGCGGCTCGACGGGTCTGTTCGGAGCGGCGACGCTATTAGTTCTGATGGTGCCTTCCTTGTAGTCTTTCCCTTTCGAGAGCTTCTGGCAGACCGAACATGAGATATATGGTGTACTGATAGAGGCGACCAAAGTTGTTGCCACGACCTTCTCCTCTGCCACTGGTTTGGTTGGAGGCACATCTGGATCCAATCAACTTCTGTCTGTCCGTGATTGGATAAGATAGTGCCCAGGGCCCAGGACCAGGAGTAGCCGATTTCGGTGTGTGGTGTGCAGGTACTTTCGCCCCCTCCATCTATGTCGGTGCATGTTTGGGGGGTGCTCTCGGCAGACTCATGGAGGCCGGTATCCGTAAGGAAGGCTTTTGAAACTTTTGAACGTGAGAACTGGCAGCTACTTGTACAGGTCTAAGAAGGGAGTCAGTCGTGTGCCTGTTTTTCAGGGATCCGTGATGGCACATTCCGAGCCTCGGCAGCAAGAGAGCTGTTTCAACGACGTGCAAAGACATGCTGCAGATAGGCCACGACAACGTACATCGTAGTTGGCATGGCTTCGATGCTGGCCGCGAACTGCAGCGCTACTTTCTCAGTTGCAAGGCGGCTGCGGGAGGATTCGTGTCTGTGGTCTTGGTTTGCAGGTTCCCATCACGTCCGTGGTTCTGGCAGTAGAGCTGGCAGGTGGTGCCAGCTACGAGGTGGGATGTCGGACATCATGACATCTGCATAATTGACATCGGAGCTGCGCCGGATAAGGTGAACAGCTTTCTCTAAATTCGGCTTTGAGCAGGCTACGTTACCTCTTATCACAGGGATTGGCGTGGCACTCTATGCCAGGCTGTCAGTTGCAAGAGTCGAGTTCGTCCGTGTGCAGAGTGTCGGCAGTGAGGTCTCAGCCGTTCTCCTGCCTGCCCTTCTGGATGGTTTGGACCGCAATGCTGCATTGGCCAGGCAAGTTTCGACCTGGCAATCTATCAGGCAGGTAAATTGCGAGAGCTGTCAGGCTGTCGGATGCGGTAGCCGGCTCAACGTTGCTCAAATTGTCGTGCCAACACCGACTTTAGCAGAGTTGAAGTCAATGCATCTAAGGCAGAAGACACGGGTATGTGAAACTCAATTGATTTCAATAATTCATTGGACAAAGATCGCCTGCGTGGAAATCCTGGAATCATTTTTGCTTGATACTTATCCGATTGCATGAAATACTTTCCAGAAACCCTTGTTGGCCACCTATGACCTTATCATCGACCCCGGGAAGACACCAAGAAACTCCTCAATCTAGAACAATGATTGGGTTCAGCGACCCAGGCACGCGTACTCTCCCCACTAAAGACTATCATACTATAACAAAGGCATATCGATTCCAGAGGTTGGTATCCCTCTAATTCCTTATCATGTATATAAGACCAAAATTTATAGTCGGCTTATTTCAGATATCGTTAAATATATCTCTTTAGGATTTATATACAACGAAAAAATTACTGATAAAATTTTGCGTTGTTGATCGCTATATTTTGATTATAGCTTTTGTTGGTCTATGTGTTTTATACTCTTCTATATTTCTTTTAAATAGATTTCTGAAGAATGATGTTAGTTCCTTATAATCATAAATATTTTGAATAAAATTCGAATTTATGGGCTTCTATATGTTGATGTTTGATATACGTACGTTAGATATAGTCTTCTGATATAATCCTTTAGCAATAGATAATATAGAAATTAAGTGGAATGATAGGATAATAATAGGAATGATAATTCTTTAGTTATATTCTATTTAGATTTAAGTTTCGATTCTTCGTTGAACTGGATTCATGATTAAATAATTTCATAGGCAAATGATATAAAATAAATCGAAGATATATTTATATTTTTGTTTTGAAAATTTTATAATACAGTAGTATACATATTAAACATAAATTCAAGAGTTGTCATATTTTCATCCATTATATGAAAAGTACTTAGATTTATTTTTCTTATAAAGAATTCTCTAATAAAACGGTGTCGTGTTGGTCGCCTCCGTTTTTTTGTGCACGCCCCTTCGTTTTTGTAACCTCGTCTTTTGGGGCGCCTCCTTTTGAAAGCCTCTTGCGTGTCTGTCTCGCGGTAGTAAACTGTCGGAAATTTTTGTACCGGCAGCACTTCTTTCCCGGTTATATTATTTTTTCCGAAATTTTGGTAGCTCTAGGAAATCTCGCGGTATTAAAATTTTGGAATTTGTGTAGCTTCAGGGGGGACAAGCTCCCGGTAATAAAGTTTCCGAAATGTTCGTAGGGATGCTCGCGGCCATAAAATTTCCGAATTTTTTGGCATATGCTCGCGGCAACAAAATTTCCGAAATTTTAGTATCGGAAGCATATCCCAAAAAAGAGGCTTTGAAGAAGAAACGCATCCGATTTTAGGGCCGCTCGAAAAGCACGCAAGAGGCTTGCAAGAGGAAGCGCATCAGGAGAGGAGTGCCGAAATTTCAGTGCCGCGAGACGGGCACGCAAGACACTTTCAACAGGAAGAGCGCGAGGATCTTGGTAGCACGAGCTCCTCGATGCGTGTCTCCTATGTGTCTACACGTTTGTCTCCGTCTTTGCTTATGGCAAGCAGGAGCTGTTTTAGCTGTGAGATCAAAAAGCATGGACAGCCACTGCGTTTTTGGATTCAAGCACATGTTCTGTCGTGTCACAGTTTTCCAGCTCCGGCTTCATCGTTGCAAGCACGATCATCAAAAGACGTCCGAACCTCTGTGTGTCTGTCTGTCTGTCTGTGTCTGTCTGACTCTCTCTCTGTCTGTGTGTGTGTGTGTGTCTGTCTGTCTGTCTGTCTGCCTGCCTGCCTGGCTGGCTGGCTGGCTGGCTGTCTGTCTGTCTGTCTGTCTGTCCGTCTGTCCGTCTTTCTGTCCGTCTCTCTGTCCGTCTCTCTGTCCGTCTCTCTGTCGGTCTCTCTGTCCGTCTCTCTGTCCGTCTCTCTGTCCGTCTCTCTGTCTCTCTCTCTCTGTCTCTCTCTCTGTCTCTCTGTCTGTCTCTCTCTCTCTCTCTGTCTCTCTCTCTCTCTCTGTCTCTCTCTCTCCGTCTCTCTCCCTGTCTCTCTCTGTCTCTCTGTCTCTCTCTCTCTCTCTTTGTCCCTGTCTCTCTCTCTCTCTCTCTCTCTCTCTCTCTCTCTGTCTCTCTCTCTCTGTCTCTGTCT